GTGAGTGAGTGAGTGAGTGAGTGAGTGAGTGAGTGAGTGAGTGAGTGAGTGAGTGAGTGAGTGAGTGAGTGAACCGGGGTCTGGCTTTATAAAGCAGCAAATGAGGAAGTCAGTTTATCGGAAACATCCTGCCTTTTCTTCCTGTCTTGACATAAAAAAATGAAAACTTTGTGGTCTGTTGATGTTTTCAGGGGTTTTCTTATGAATTCAATGAACTTTTTTTTCTGGGTGTATTTACCAGATTTTATTTAAATTTTAAATAAAGTGATGAAACGCATTGCTGAAAGTCTGACCACAGAACTGGGATGGCAGGAAAACCTTTTTTGTAACCTTTTAAATTATAAGGGAACTAAATGTGCTGACTTAGCAAATAAAATATGGATAAGAAATAAATGAAGACCAAGGTATTCAATAAAGTTCAAGAAAGCAAAGAAATGAATCATTTTCTGGGGGTTTTAAAGCTTAATTTACATCATTTTCTATCTGGCAAAACTAAGGACATTACAGAGACTCCTAAAGTACATCGGAGGATTTTATTTATTTTGTGTTTCCACTCAAAAGTTGTTCATTAATATTGTTCTTGTTGGTTTGTAAATAAATTCACATGCACACTATCATGTACTACTTACAGATTTAATTCAGCATAAACTCATCACAGAATCTCATTCTGTGATGACACATCCTATTTTGGTAACTGGATATTTCAAAATAAAAGTCCCATTTAATGCAATTAATACAAAACATTGCATTAACCACGAGAACACAAAACTTTTGTGTGAGAACTCACAAGGATTGTGAGGTAACGCAAAAATATGACAAGGTATTTCAAAAGTATTGTGAGATAATGCAAGTATTGTGAAGTAACAAGAGTATTGTGAGGTATTACTAAAGTATTGCAAGGTAATGCAAAAGTATTATGAGGTATTACTAAAGTATTGCAAGGTAGCCCAAAATACTGTGAGGTAATGCAAGAGTATTGTGAGGTATTACTAAAGTATTGAAAGGTAATGCAAGAGGATTGTGAGGTATTACTAAAGTATTGCAAGGTAATGCAAGAGTATTGTGAGGTAACAAGAGTATTGTGAGGTATTACTAAAGTATTGCAAGAGTATTGTGAGGTAACAAGAGTATTGTGAGGTAATACTAAAGTATTGCAAGGTAATGTGTAAGTACTATGAGGTCACAAAAGTATTGCAAGGTAATGCAAGAGTATTGTGAGGTAGCAAGAGTATTGTGAGGTATTACTAAAGTATTGCAAGGTAATGCAAAAGTATTATGAGGTCACAAAAGTATTGCAAGGTAGCCCAAAAATACTGTGAGGTAATGCAAGAGTATTGTGAGGTATTACTAAAGTATTGCAAGGTTATGCAAAAGTATTACGAGGTCACTAAAGTATTGCAAGGTAGCCCAAAAATACTGTGAGGTAATGCAAGAGTATTGTGAGGTATTACTAAAGTATTGCAAGGTTATGCAAAAGTATTATGAGGTCACTAAAGTATAGCAAGGTAGCCCAAAAATACTGTGAGGTAATCTAAGCATTGTAACATGGTAATAAGGTATTGGGAAGTAATATAAAAGTATTGTGTGATAATGCAAATCTTTTGCGTGGGAACAAAAAAAGTATTGCAAGATACCAATAAAATAAGATTAATGTTAGTTCGGTGTCTCTGTAAAATGTAAACAAACTCATGAAATATTCAAAATCTAGTTTAAAATGTGTCTTTTCATTCAGGAAAAAGTACCACAGTTTTTATAAAATCTGCAGTCACAGCAGGTTAGTCCAAAATGGGTAGTAAAGTTTTTTTTTAAGTATAATTACACCAGATTGGGTCGAGTTGGGCTGAAATCAGGAACAGAAAATACTCTTTGAGATTCTGCAGGGGACCATCAACCTGTCGGCACTTCTCCATTTCCCTCAGCAGCCTAAACCACTTCCTGTTCTGCTAAGTAATTAACTGAGCTGAAACTAATGCTTCACTGCCAAATTAGATCATACTTCCCATATATGAAAATCAGATGTGTATTCCCATTTTAAATTTAGATAAGATGAGTTGTGTGTAATAAATAATAAAGTCTTCTAGGTTTGAGCTGGGAACGCACAAAACAAGCACAAGATTTAAGTGCTGCGTCCAAAAAATGACAATAAAGTTTAAAGTTAGATTTTATTGTAAAAGTCTAATAAAATCATATTTTAAGTTTCAGAATTTGTAATGACAAAAGGAAACAGGTGGCATCAGTTTTATTTGTTTTTTCCTGAGTCATCCTCACCCAAATGCTTTGATATAAAACCGATACTTCGCACTCACTCAGTTATAAACAGAAAACTTTCTGAACGAAGCAGAAAATGTGTGAAAGCTGAAAAAGTGTCGGTGCAGAGAATCCTGTAATTGATGTGGGGCAAAAATCCTGCATATTAAAAACGAAATCACAAGTATGATCTAAAGTGGTTCAACAACAACAACAAAAAACCATCTTGAAAAAAAAGGATATGTGTTTTAGAAATTTGTAGAACCGAGTGGAGGAAAGTGCCTACTGATGCAGAACAGACACAAATTAACTGAAAAAAATAAGTGAAACTAATATCACAAATCCTGTTTAACTCTTTTGGAAATACTTTTAAAGAATATTCAGATAACAGTTTGAATCTTCAGGTTTTACATTCAAACATGTCGCTCTAATTGTTAGTACAAAAATGCTGAGGAGGCAAAACTGTTCCATGTTCGATTAATAATCAAGATAAGGAGGAGGATTTTCTAGAAATACATTAAAATGCAACGTTAAGCGTTATTTTGCTGAATTTGACTAAAAATACAGCAATGATGCAACTACAGCTCACCAATCAACCATCAAGTGCCGTCATTTATCTGGTTGTGTGTCTTTTCTTCTGACACTCACTGTCTGGCCCAATTCTGGCCCACACATAGTATTAAAACCCAGATCAGAAACAACAAAGAACAAGCCTTTTGGTGGCCCAGATGTGGTTGGCCAGAACTGGTCCATGCATGGGCCAGCACCACTTAAACCAAACCACAACTGGGCCAGTTATAACATTCACAGAAGTGGGCCACATAAACCAAACCAGGATGGGACCAGTTGTGGCACTGACATATCTGTGCCACACAAACCAAACCACCACTGGGCCATTTGTAACAATGAGAGATTTGGGCCACATAAACCAAGCCACCACTGGGCCATTTGTAACAATGATAGATTTGGGCCACATGAACCAAACCACCACTGGGCCATTTGTAACAATGATAGATTTGGGCCACATAAACCAAACCAGGATGGGACCCGTTGTGGCACTGACATATCTGGGCCACATACTACTGAGCCATTTGTAACAATGACAGATTTGGGCCAAATAAACGAAACCACAACTGGGCTAGTTGCGGCACTAACAGATTTAGGCCACACAAACCAAATCACAACTGGGTCAGTTGTGGCATACCATCTTAAAAACGGCGCCACCATCATTGCCAGACCTGACCCACATCCGGTTGAAAAACCACTTGCCATGCCAGCAGTGCCAGCTTGACTCCAGGTCTGGCCCACATCTGTCTGCTATGTGAGAAAACTCATGACCACAGGTGAGGGTTGGAACAGACCGACCAGTAAATCCAGAGCTCTTCCTTCACCATGACGGACCAAAGCAACATCCTCATTAGGATGAGGCCCAGATCCGTTGATCCATCTCCCTCTCCGATCCAAGTCAAATGGTAATAAGATAAAAATACTTTAATAAGTGAAAGTCATGTCAAAATAACTCAACCACGCTTCAGAAACCAACTCTGTTTAGCTAAAGATGAAACTCTCTTGTCAGACAGTTGTGTGGCTGCAGAAGAAAAAGCAAAACCAGAGATTCTTTCAGGAAAAAAAAAAACATGCATCTGCAGACACTTCCCCAAAAGTTAGTGCAGCCCTTACCAAACTACCAAACTTCGCATTCAGTTCCTGGTATTTTTAGTTTACTGTAACATCTTCAAGTGAAAGCCATCTGCCTGCCAACAAAGGAAACCAATGAATTTCAATTTCCTGACTTTCAACATCAGATAGCCCACAGAGATCCCGCTGAGCAAAGACTGGGCTAAAAAAAAGAAAAGGCCTGCTTATGTCAGCAGTTTGTAATAGAAAAGTTTATCAATGTTGCTAAATCCTTGAAAAGTTAACTTTTGGTTGATGGGTTATATTTGTTAAAAGCCATAAAAATGTAATTCTGGACTTTTAAGGCTGTCTGCTATATAAAAAAAGTACAAGCAAAGACAGAAAAGATCTAAAAGTTCATTGAGCTGCGACCGGTGGCGCCTCTAGAGTGTCTTGTAAAGTTTGCAGTTAGACAGCACCCTCAACAAAACA